GTACAGGGTTGGGAAGGTGTGTGGCAGCACGCTGGTATAGGGTATGTCACTGTACAGACATGGGGGATGACACAACCTAAGAACAGATGTAACAGTGAAATGTAGCTAAAAATATTTAGGATGTGATGACTTCTGAGTATTTCCTTTGTTTTAAAACATTTACAATTTAATTATAAGCTTTATACAATTTCACTTTCCATAATGGTTGGTTTAACAACCGCTTGAGCTGCTCCTGAGAGGTGTGTGGTGGGCTCCTGAGAGCCGGCGCGTTGGGCTCCGGCACAGCCTGGGCTCCAGGCCTCAGCAGCACCCCAGCAGCACTGGCCCCTGTGCAGCAGAGGACAGTGGGGTCCCCTTAGGTAAGGAGCTGGGTCCCCTGGCAGCTCTCTGGCTAGACAAATGCCCAAACAGAGGGAGTTCAGCCTGTGTTTCTCCCTCTTAGCGACTCTACAGCTGGACTCAGGCAGTGACGGGGACATGGTCTGGCCAGGACGCAAGGGAGCCATCTGTGTCGGAGGACACCCTGCCCTTCAGCGCCGACTCGGGCATGTGCTGTGAGAGTGATTCGGAGCCTGTCACCAACCTGTCGGAGCCCCTCACCCCTGATGCGTGCAGTCATGCTTTCCCCTCAGGGCTGGAGCTGGAGCCTGAGGATGGGCTGAGCTCCCTGGTGGCCTCGGAGGCTCTGCCACAGCTCGGGGGCCCTGCGGAGGCCATCGGGGAGCATGAACGGTGGCTGGCCACGTGCATCCAGGCCCTGGAGAGAGAAGTGGCTGAGGAAGAGGTGGTGCAGGTGGACAGAGCTGTGGATGCCCTAGACCGGTGGGAGATGTTCACGGGGCGGCTCCCGGCCACCAGGCAGGACCTGCCCTGCAGCAGAGACAGTGCTGGGCTGCGCAAGGTCCTGGGGGATAAGTTCTCGTCTCTAAGGAAGAAGCTGAGCACGCGCAAACTGTCCAAAGCGGAGTCTTCCCCCTATCACTGGAAGGGAGAGGAGAATTAGCACAGCAAGGGCTGTCCCGTCTAGTGCAGGAAAGTCAGCAGCCCGGCATCTGCGTTTCCCTAGGACACCGACTGGCTGTCACTGTCCAGTGACTGAGGGCAGTGTCGACCCACCGGTGATTAAAAGGAAAGGTACTCTTGAGAAGCCTAGATGGCTCTTTCATTCCCACCCACTCACTCGCAGCCACAGGTCCCAGGCCTGCTCCAAAGCCAGTGGTCCCCAAAAGCCTCAGGGCCCCCTTGGTGAGGTGACCTGCACGCTGGGAGGAGCACCTGCCTGCAGAGGCAGAAGGAAGCGGTGGGCTTGCTTTCTCCTTCCAGGCTGGCAGGTGTGGGCCTGCTGAGTCCCTTCCGCTGTTTATAGCCACGTGGGCCCTGCTACTGCAACCCCAGCTTCCAAGGCCACACAGGGTCTCCACTCAAAGGGGAAGCCATGGGTTTTGTTTCTATCTAAAGTGTCATCCACGCACATGAAAGGGTCGCTTTCTGTGGCACTAATGGCATTCTGATCCTTAGGGACATCACATGCTGTCTCTGTGAAAGTTCTGGAGAATGTGCCCACTGGGATTTCCCATTTCTTTGACAGATGCCGCAGGAAAGGAGGGTGTCTAATTTGCAGGCTTAAGACTGTTAGACAGAGGCTTTCTTACTCCCTGAGACTGCTGCCTGCATAACCTTCAGTGGTGAAAAACTGCAAAGACATTCTTGGGACAGTTTTCTGACAAAGGCGGCCGTGCTGTCAGTACCAATTAGCTCAAGCTGGTGACAGTGTTGCTTAGATTGTGTCTTTACTGACTTTTTTTTTTT